GAWAAAWTAGCCGTGAAACGGCTGAAAAATTAGCCGTGAGTCGTAAAAATGAGAAAAAAATTAGCCGTGAGGCGTGAAAAAGCCAAATTTTTAGCCGTGAGTCGTGATGCGGACCCCCTCATTGAGACCCTCTTAAATGAAAATGACCCCGGGGAGTGTGGGTAGGTGGTGATGTTATTTAAAAAAGTACTCCTAAAAGATCCTAAAAGATACGAGACTCTTACGAAAAAGGGCGTGGCAACACAACATTTTCCCTCTTAAAAATACCAACTGAAAATGTTTGTCCACATATAACAAAACGCGATAAAACGATCTAAAGCCAATTAAAATGAGTGAGGTGTCTGATGTTTTGTTATCTTTACGTATTATGTAAAAAGGTAGAGTCATAACACTTGCACCGTGAAACATGATCAAAATAAACAGTAAATATTAGTGTCTATTTATTGACTAATAGTAGATATTACTGAACCAGAACACAGTTCATGAAAACAAAAGGCAATACACAGGAGACTTGACAACTGCCATCTTTATTTAATGTACAATCAAGACAAAAGACACATCTAGATCTAAAATAACCACACAATACACTAGGGAGCGCGTTTAACGAATCTTTATTTATTTGCGCTGCTGCCGTAAAATCAAGACAAAAGACACATCTAAAGCTAAAATAACCACACAATACGCAAGGAAACGCGTTTAACGAATCTTTATTTATTTGCGCTGCTGTAGAATCAAGACACAAGACAAATCTAAAGCTAAAATAATCACACAAGACTAAATGAAACGCGTTTGGAATCTTTATTCTCTGCGCCCCAGCAAAATTAAGATAAAAGACATTGTAAGGCTAAATTGAAAATACTGTAACAATATCAAACCCAGTACGCAAATGAACGTGTTTTCTAACGAGTTTATTATAAGAGCCTAAACTAAAWATCAAGACAAGACGCACTGAAATGACCCGCAAAAATCTATAAACAACGTGGTTTCGAACGAATTCTATCGCTCAAAGCTGAGTTATTTGACTAGTCAATATAAAAAAGCGACTTGACAACAACCAGCGGCGACGTTTTATATTTATCCTTTGCTTGAAGCTCAAAATAAAACACAATAAATTTTATTAATCATTTCGGAAATGTTTGTGAGATACGTACCTTTTGAGCATGGGACATTAGTTACCAAATCATTATTTCAAGCAGCACTCGTAACAGTTATAAAGTTAGTTACTATAGCTATCTATTTCACTTTCACCCTATAATCAACTCTTTTTGTCCTTTCAATAAACTCGATTTCCATGAAGCCTACATTTAACACAAGCTCTAGCCCTTCCCGACATCTTTCCTCTGGGTTTAACAAAGAACTAAACCAGCAGCTCTTTATTTCTTTCCTTAATTGTGGGTGGGACATTTTTTAACAAATTCCTCCTTCTTCATTAGGTAGCTTTTAATAACGTTGTTTGGCTTCCAAGTCTCTTGTGTATTACCTTTTGTTGTTAAATATTGTTTTGGTTCAGTGATATCTACTATTTCATACAAATAGTCAGTAAATAAAAACTAATAGTTACTACTTCNGTAAACTATACTTCAGAACAAACTTTTCTGCAGATGTGAAGATGAAGATAAGAACTTTGTATTAACTAGAACTGTTGACTTTATTCAAACGTGCGGTACTATTCAATGATATCAAAACTTAAGTTTGAAATATTAAAATTATTTCTTTGAAAACTTTGAGCATTTATAGTAAACAGACATCGACATATAAATATAGATTGATCGATTGAATGACAGAATTAGAGAGTTGGAACGCCACAATAGTTGGAAGAAAAGCTTCAAGAATTTACCATAATAATTTTTTTGCTTTCCTCTTTCGAAGTTGAATCGTTCAGTAGGTGTCATTCTATTCAAGTCTTTCTTCCTTTTGACGCCAGTATTTGAACAATTGGATCAACTCGACCAATTACATCGCAGAAGAAACTGTCAGGCGGTGATTTAGTTTATTGTTAACAACAAATCCTTAAATGAAAATGACCCCGGGGGGTGTGGGTAGGGGGTGATGTTATTTAAAAAAGTACCCTTAAAAGATCCTAAAAGATACGAGACTCTTACGAAAACACAACATTTTCCCTCCTAAAAATACCAACTGAAAATGTTTGTTCACATATAACAAAACGCGATAAAACAATCTAAAGCCAATTAAAATAAGTGAGGTGACTGAAGTTTTAATTGTTATCTTTACGTATTATGTAAAAAGGTATGTAAAATTAAATTTATGTAAAAAGGTACAAGATTATACGGCGAAAAACTTTGAGACATCCTAAAAGATACCAAATACCAAATACCACATCAATTTGCACGGTTTTTGAAGTCCTGGTGTCCAAATATAATTACTCTGCGGACAAAACAGGAAATGGGCAAGGAACCATCTTATTTTGAAGCTGTTTTTCTTTTGCTTTATTCTAGAACTAAGAACCTATTTTAACAACCTAAGTAGACTAAAATTGTGTTAACTAACAACATTCATATACTAAGAAACTGTTTAGGCTGCTTCCCAAAAATGTAGGTTCTTGTATGCGGGTTTCTATACTATATATGTATCTAAAAGTGTCATTTGTTTCTGAAATCGGTGTATATAAAATACTCAGAAATTCTGGGATATCATCGCCAATATTTTTTTCAGAAAGTACTACCGCTAGGCAACTTCATAATTTCTAATATATAGATTATATATACTTGCAATATGAGTCAAAGTGACCATAATTTCTGCATGCATATTGCTGGATATAGTTCGAGRATTGGAATTGCAAGTTCGGTAATGAATGTCTTATCTGGACTATTRGTTTGGCGATTTATTTCATTAGCTTTTCACCGGACGAGTTTATAATATCATTGTCAAATGCATTGCCAATATATCCTGCTTACGTAATGGTCGAAACGAATTACACACCAAAATCATTGTTTTAAAAACGGTCAGTTTAGTCAATTAATGCATTTCTGGAAAGCATTAAAATTCAAAGCGCAGATGTGAGAATCTTATAGAAAACTGACAATTTTCAACACTAAAACGACAGCCGATTGAGTTTGGTGGCGGACGCGATCAGTATGACCATAAATGACACTACAGTAAGCTGTTTAATTTCAGCAGATTTTGCTGACTTTAACGTAAATACACTACCACCAGTAGTTGCACCTGTATGGACAGTGATTAGTGTTGTTAATGGACTCGCTTCTCCAGTTACTGTGATATTGAACTTTTTGATCATTTGGACGGTGATAGCAGATCATGAACTTCGTTCCTTTAATTACAATCTTCTTCTAGCAGCTCTGGCTGGAATTGATCTGTTAGTCGGGGCGTTTGTTCAGCCGCTGCATATTTGGTACCATTTATGTTTACTGAACGATTGCCAGGTACGTTGCTCATTTTCAGTAATTGCAATAGCGGCTATAATTTCCAACAGCCCGGCCATGTGTACTTTAACGATTACGAGTCTTGAGCGGTACTTGGCCATAGAGCATCCATATTTCCATGAAAAGTACGTCACAACCAAGAGACTGTTACTTACAGAAGTTGTCGGTTCGGTGTTTATGCCAATAGCACTTCTGCTTGGCAGAATATTTACGGAT